CCTGCAGACGCCAGCCGGTGGTGGATCGAAGGCGCGTGGGTGGATCAGCCTCCGCGGCGACACGCAGCGGGTCGTTCCGCGGCAGGGCGGCTCCGCGGTATGCTCGGCCAGCGTCTTCCTGGTAGACCAGACGGATGGGATGCCTGCCTCGGCCAGTAGTGCGTCCCTGGGGTAGACCGCGGGCAACCGGTCACCACCCGGGCGGCCGCCAGCAGCTCGCGCTCCGCCAGCTGGACATGAGATGGGGACGCTACAGCCGGAGCCAGGCCCCTCCGCATATTCGAGGACTCCTCGAACGTAACCGTTCGCGACGGTTCGGAGCTGCGCCTCGCGGAGGCCCCACGTCCGGCCGGTCATCCTCCGCAGCTCCGTGTGAACGGCACGCAGGTCACCGGTGGCACTAGCCTACATCTCTTGAAGGTGACCTTCGACCGACTTATACACTTCAAGGGCCACTGCGACTCTCCCCACGTAAGCTGGATTGTTCACAGCTCTGACCTGACTGGCCACAAATCGCGAAGTTGCGAATCGCGATTGGGAGTTGTTCCTTTTCACATTCAATGCTGGTCAAGTGAAGTCTTTGTATCTCCTTTCAGCGAGCTTTCTTTTCGGAATTGAGTTAGGCACTAGGTATTTTAGGAAGCATGCTGAATTTGGCGCCGTCAATAACGGCCCGTTTTTCTTCTTGCTGTCAGTCTTACAGAAGTCAATGTTTGTAAAATGTAACTTGCAAAAGCGATTGTCCTGAGTCCTCAGCGTGATTTCTTGTCCCGATTGATGGTTTCTCCTGGTAACATTTCTTTCTTTTTATTTATACGGGAGGCTAAAAAGTTGCCTTTTTGCTAGTAGGTCGTTTGAAGTCTTTTTGTCTGCTTCGATATCTGGAATGACATCTTCGCACCAGACACTTTCCGGTCCGGTCGTGAAAGTGCTGAAGTAGTAAATTATAATTTTTCTTTTCATTATTCTTAATCTTGACCGTTTTTTCTTCCATTATTCTTGAATGCTATGCTGTCTCTTTATCATTTGATTCATTTGATTCTTCATCATTATTGCTCACAGCTATTTTCAAACCAACGTAAATGACTCGGTCAGATGGTATTTATCGCCCTGGATCAGATTGGGATCAGACAAATATATATTAACACATGGTTTCCCGTGTGTAAATGGTTTTAACGCACGACGTGGATGGATTGGAGCACGCGTGTGTTAATGCACGAGTGAAACGAGTGCATTAACGCACAAGTGCTCCATTCCATCCACGAGTGCGTTAAAACCATTTATGCACGGAAACCATGTGTTAACCCGCGCGGGGCTGGGGGGGGGTAAATTTTACCCCCCCTCGCGAATTTTTGCGATATCTCAAAAACGGCGGCGCGCAGCGCCGCCAAACTTTCAGTACCTTTTCTTACATCAATTTGACACGTTCTCTGAAAATTTGAGCGAAATCCGTCGGAAAAAATTTTGAGAAATTGACGTTTTAGTGACGTCATGTTCGTCATTTTCGCCTCAAAAACGGCAAAAGTTCAAACGCCGCTAACATCTTCATTTTTAAAGGAATCAAGACGTAACAAAAAAGGTTATACGTAATTTTACTTTGTCTATCAAATGGCTATCTCGGTTTTTTGAAAATTTTGGATTTTGGCCTAAATTTTTTCAAAAAACTGACTTTTTCGGGAAAATCATTATAAAGTCCAAAATTTTGAGTCTATCAAAAAAACCGGAATATATGTCAGAGAAGTGGTCTATGTGCACCTACATACCAAATTTTAGAAGAATCGATTCAAAAATGTGGGAGTTATTCAAAATTTTATGACGTCACGACACACAAAATTTTTGAAAAATGACATTTTTGGAAGTTCTAGACCTCGTACGGAAACAAAAATAGCACCATTCGATTCGCCGTGAAAAACTGCATTAGATAGACACCTTTTTAGGCCTTCACAACCAACTTCAAAATTTGACGTCACTTGACCTGACCTTGACCTGACCTCGACCTGAAACTCATCCAGAGGTGGTCCATATCACTTATTGAGTATGCCTATTGAATTCTATGAGTAAAATGACCCATAAAACATGTGTCGCACATGCCCTTTTCTATATTTTGTTTTTTGGTGACCTGACCTGACCTGACCTGACCTTGACCTTGACCTCTGAATGATATTGTATGCAACGAGTATTGTCTTGGTAGCCTAAGAACACGTTTTGGGCGATCAGTCTCAGTCCATGACTCTATTCTTCGGCAACTACGGTGCAAGGCCGATACTGTAGAAACTTGCAATTTGTACCCTTGACCTGACCTTGACCTTGACCTCAAACTTTAAATTAAGTACATGTTTTTAGTAGTTCGTGATGAGAGCTTTCGATTGGCGTTTGAATTTTCCAAATCGGACCGTTAGTTCGGGAGATAACAGGGGGGGTAAAATTTACCCCCCCCCCCCAGCCCCGCGCGTTCGGCTGGAGACCCCAGCCCCGCGCGGGTTAAACTAATTAATACATACTTAACGGTGCGAATTTGAATTAAAATTAAACTTAGTCCAAGACACTAAAAGGGCTTTTTATGGGAATTCTTAGAATAAAGTCAATGACCCTTCCAAAAAGCTTCAGTCGAGAAATTCATCAATGCACGCGCGTGCACCAATTATACTTAATACACGGTTTCCCGTGCATAAATGGTTTTAACGCACGAGATGAGTGATTAGAGCACGAGTGTGTTAATGCACGAGTGAAACGAGTGCATTAACGCACGAGTGCTCTAATCACTCATCGAGTGTGTTAAAACTATTTATGCACAGGGAAACTGTGTATTAAAAATATTAATATATGCTTTAAGGTGCGATTCCAGACAATCGCCATGCTGAAGGGCTTTTATTTTGGGGTCACAGGGGCTTGGTGTTTTAGGGATATAGAGACCTGTGAACGCATGCTTTCACGATAGCAGCAAGCTGAACTGTTAAATTATTTTTGTGCATTAAGTGTATGGTTATGCGATAAATCACCTCATTATTAACGAAATTCGATAACGAAAATATATCCATTTGTTTAATATAGGCGTGCGTTAATTTCGATTAACGCACGCTGAATTTCATTAGAGCACGCTCGTGGCAATAACGCACTGGCTCTTCCAAATTCGACAACTTCGAATCCCCAGTGAACGCACCGCAAAGTATGTATTAATTTAAATTGGTGCACGGCTACCTTCGAATTAATGCACGGTTAATCTCCAGTGAACGCACCGTAAAGTATGTATTAATTAAAATTAACAACCAACATTCAAAAGCGAGAAAACGGGTGCAAAGTACGGCTGCGTTTGTGAAGCAAATACCTCTAACGTGAACAGATGGTTAACTGAGCGAGAAAACATGTCCGCATTTATATTCATTTACTCATTATTTATTCAACATGCAATGAAATATCTTAATCCGCGAAGTAGATAAAAGTATGGGTTACCTTACATTCAAATTTCAAAATATTTCGACGCCTTTTTGATGATAAAAAGATTCATAAAAGTGCACTGATTTTTGGGCCTCCAATGCTGATTTCCTCGGATCAGCGCACAGTCCATATATAGAGAAGTCTGTGCCTCAGGTCAACCGAACTTGAAAAACCATGATGCATGTTATGGCGCTCGGTGAGCTTAGCATGTCCTGCAAGTTGGAATCAGATCGGTGCACAACTCTAGATTTCAATAAGAATAGTGTAATTTCAGTCCCAATTTGACAGTGTATCGGTTTTTGTGACCTGGTGACCTGGCCTGAGGTCACTGTTACCTGAAATTGTTAGTGAAGATGCCAAAAGGTTGCCCCGGAGAGCGAGCCCTCTTGACACTATTAACGAGAAACCTTACGGGGTTAAACCCAGGCGAGGGTTAAACCAAATCCAACAATTCCCGCCTCTGCGGGGGTACTAACAGAAGGAAATTGGAAAAAAGTTTGAATTCTTACTGTGCGAGAAGTTTTCAAGCAAAAACAACAAAAATCGTTTGACCGTGCCTTTATTTTGTTGTGGTCATGCTCGGCCTATTGGATCTGCGACACTGGACGTTGAGAAATGTTACCTAACTATGTTGCCTATGTTACCTATGTATGTACAGCCCTCAGCAGACTGCGTGGTGGGTATTCTTTTTTCGTTAATACCGATAATAACTCAAAGGCTATGTTATCAATCCGTCGCAACTCACTGCAAATAGATCCGCCATGTTCCACTCCTTCGATTGGGTCTATCGCCAAACAAAGTATACGCATTGTGTGGCAACAAAATGCAAAAGTTTGTTTTGGGGGCAACCGGCAAATATTAACTTTTGGGTTTTGTTTCCAAAATGGATGAGAAATGAGTACGATGATTATGCCAATCTAAGGTGCGGAGTCTCGCGCGTCTTGCTGTTACGATTTCCGAGTGATCGATTGCATAGTACCTATTCGCCTTATTCTCGGTTTTGTCGAAAAAAGAATACCTACCACGCAGTTTGCAGAGGGCTGTACCTATGTTACTTGAGAAAAAATCCCGCTTTTGCTGTCCCACTAGCCCGTCCTACGTCACAGAGAAGGTATGACGTCATCAGGGGACCAGCTGAACCTACCTCCCTGGTGTTGGAGCCCCCAGTATCTCCCGGCTACACCAAAACACGCACTGTCGGTGTTTGTGACGTCACACATACACCCGGTCCCGGTGTAAAGGCCTAGCTACACTATGCGTTTTCTTCGTGCGTTTTTGCGTGTTTGCGTGTTTTGCGTGATATCGTTCTAGAAAAAACAACGATATTACGTTTTTGTGATGTTTTTCACCTTAAATTTTAGTTACATAAGAGTTATATTAGCTTTTGTATATAGCCAAAGTAAAAATTATATTGTTTATAACTTTTTTCCTAGAACGATATTACGCAAAACACGCAAACCTGCAAAAACGCACGCCGAAAACGCATAGTGTAGCCAGGCCTTTACGGCGTCTCCAAAGTCGCTGACGGACTACCGCCGACAACACACCGCGGCAGAGACGGACACCGTGATTAACAGCCGTGTATTTCACACTCGGTCGTGACTCACCACCAAACAGAGTCACTGTGAGTCACGACTCAGCTAAACAACGGCAGTACACGTGACGTCACGATCACAAAGGCTCTCCGATCGCTGGACGGAAATCCGGGCCGTGGAATTGTCTCGATTAGTGAACAAGCTGGTCATATAACGCAGAACTATCAACGTAAGCTACATGTGTGCTCTAGATAACCCGGACCGGGGACCTACAATAGCGACACAAAACACCGCGCTAGAACGTACAAAACCACAAACCTCTGTGTTGGAATGTGTCACATAACCACTATCTATGGTATGCCCTTTCCGTGGGGTTTTCTGGTCTCAATGCAGCGGTAAAATGGCCGTGTTTCAGGCTAGGCGGGACGACTCAAAGTGTGTCGCTGCAGACAGGAGACGGTGCTGCCATCTGTTGCCGGAATGTGACACCACCACCTGTCGGCGACAGCTGTGGGCTGTCGGCGAGGCGCGGCCAGATGGGGGTTTAGTTGAAGTACCGCACGTAGACGTTATAGCCTTCGGGCGGCTCCCTAAACTCTCTCCCTACAGCCCCTGAAAGGAGAGCAGGTCAGGTTACACACAACGTCGGATAGTGACGTCATAGACAACCAGTTCAGACTGATGACGTGACGTCACCTTGAGAGGCAGTCACTGTCAATGAGCCGTTAGTGACATCATAAACAGCTAATGCAGAATGATGTGACGTCACTCACATAAACCATGGTACCATGCTGGCTGATTACGCAAATGCTAAACCAATCCGAACAAATGCATTTAAAGTATATTGAACCGCTCGTCAGTGACGTCACAAAGAGCTAGCCCATGCTGATGGTGTGACGTCACTTAGAGAGATGCACTGACAATATACTGATATGCACCGCAAGTAAGAAACGTCATACCTCCAGACTAATGTCTGATAAGACATCGTGTCATATGTGTGGCATGTGTAACGTCATACTGGTGCTAATGACGTCTAGTGCTAGTGACGTCTAGTGCTATTGACGTCTAGTGCTATTGACGTCTAGTACTAGTGACGTCTAGTATTAGTGATCTGTATTGCTAGTGACGTCTCCTGTTAGTGATATCTAGTGTCTAGTGCTGGTGCTAGTGTCCAAGAGGCCGGTGGCGCCGTGTCGGCTGGTGTGGGCGGTCAGAGACGCTGTCACTTACTGGGGACGTAGAGACCGATGGTACGGCCCAGGTATGTCTTCAGCAGGGCGGTCAGGACGGCCTGGCAGTTTACTGCTGAGGAGGTTAGGCACAGTTCCTCCAGTTTCCTGCAGGTCACTGCCATCCTGTAACAGAACAGAACAGAACAGGTCAGCCTGCGAGACACAGTGACACACAGTGGCACCAGCGGTCAGCTTCACACTTTATGGCACGTTGACACTGACAATAGTCAAATAAGACCATAGGAGTCATTTGTGGATCGACATCGTACGACCCACACAGGAGAACGGAGATGTGAATGTCGCTAGATGAAATGTCCAGACTGGGATAGTGCGACTCGCAAATGGTCAATGTACGTATGTATGTATGTATTATGTATGTATGTATGTATGTTTGTATGTATTTATGTATATATGTATGTATTCATATATGTATGTATGTATTCATGCATGTATGTATGTATGTATTCATGCATATATATATGTATGTATGTATTCATGCATGTATGTATGTATGTATGTATGTATGTATGTATATATGTATGTATGTATGTATGTATGTATGTATGTATGTATGTATGTATGTCTGACTCGGTTTACACACCGACTGACCTGCTGACCGCTGCCACCTCTGACTCGGTCAGGGCAGGGATGTCCGTGAGGGGCCGCGGGTCTGTGAGATACAGGACCTCCAACCCAGAGCAGCCGTGGAGGGCGGCCAGCGTGGTTTCCAAAGTGGCGCCGACCACGCCAAGTTTGACCCACTTCAAGCTGGTGAATGAAGCCAGAAGACGTGCCAGTGCTCCCGGTGTCACGGACGGTGACTCTGTTGAACACACAGACACACATACATACAAACATATGTACACGGTGGCTCAGGTACAAATATCAAAAAGTAAAACAAAGCACGCACGGAAAAAAACGGTAGCAGTGACTTTGGTGAAATATGATAAGAAGTTGATCGAAATCCGTACAGCCATTAGATACATGTGCATGTACGGTCATGTATAAGATAAAGTGAACGATCACAGGTAGGTGACGAACACAGACATAAAGCGAGTAACGGTAATTCTCTAATATTAATGTTGTTAGTTGTATTGTCTCTCAACAAGACCTGACATACAGTTGCTTAGGTATAAAATGTAAATGTGAGAGTTACATATTACTACATATAACATTCAAGACACTCCATAGAACTAGGGATCATGCCCTGACGTGGTGTGTCTTCAATGGACTGTCTGTCCGTGCTGCCGCTGCTCACCAAGTATGACCAGATGGGTAACTTGGTAATCGGGTTGTCGGTTCGACAGAACGCTCAGCTGGTCCAGCAGTTTGTCGGTTGCTAGCTGTACTCCGACACTCAGTTTACTATAAAAATATTCATAGAAGCTCACTGGTGACCGAGTCATTCCCGACCCTGTGGAGAGAAACATGAACACAGAGGAATCAGTATCCAACAGGAACAGAGCGAGTGTCCAACGCAGCAACAACCAGTAGGTATCCAACAAGGTAACAGAGACAGCATCCAACACTGGTATAAAGTCAGTATCCAATACAGGAGCAGCCAGAACCCAACATACTCTTTTATAATACGAGGGGGTACCCAAAAGTAACGGGAATCGTTCTCTGTAGGCCAAGCCAGTGGTAGCTCGGCATTGCCCTGCTAGGGGCAAACCAGTCTGGCCCCTGGGACTTAGTCTGCACCGTGAGGTGACGAAATAAAGAGGCGCGGCCGCGTGGCGCACGTATTTATTGAAGCACTCCCGCCCGATCCGTCGTTTTTTATGCATAGCGGAACTGAGCAACAACGCGCATCTGTGAAATTTTGTTTCCAGCTGGGGAAGTCCGCGACTGAAACGGTTCCAATGCTTCAAGTAGCATACAAATATGCTGCCGTGAGCAAGACGCGGGTTTATGAATTATTTTCGCACTTCAAAAGTAGTCAAATGTTATCCCAAAAGCGCCAAAAAAAAGCTTGCCAAGTGAAGTCAAATGTCAAGACAATGCTGATTTGTTTTTTCGATGCAAAGGGAAGTGTGCTAAAGGAAATTGTTCCTCCCTGGTCAAACTGCCAATCAGACGTTTTACTTGGACGTTCTGCGGCGTGTGTGAAACACGGTGAGACGAAAACTCCCCGACAGGTGGCGAAGCGGGGAGTGGTGATTTCATCGCGACAGTGTGTCAGCGCACACCGCCTTGAGTGTCAGACAATTTTGGACACAAAATGCATGACCCCACGGATCCACCCTCCCTATTCACCGGATTTGGCACCCTGTGACCTTTTCCTGGTCCCCAGAATGAAAAAGACCTCAAGGGAAACCATTTCGACGACTTTGATAAGGTAAAAGCAAAAACGACGATGGCTCTGCAAGGCATCACCTTGCAAGAGCTCCAGAGCTGCTTTGAGAGCTGGAAAACGCGTCTGCATAGGTGCATTGTCTCGCAGGGAGAGTACTTTAAGAATGACATAAGTGACGATGTGTAGGGATCAGTGAATAAATAGATATGAAACAATTCCCGTTTCTTTTGGGTACCCCCTCGTATCTGTTTGGCTTCATAAAAAAAGGTTAGTTATCTGTTGGCTACACAAAGCATGTTACGGCATATGCACTGCAGTCTGAGCTGTTATGTATACTAGCAAACAGAAAAATGTTCTAACAGCGCTGGAATTCAGAGCCTGGAGACCTGGAGCTGCGTATTTGGAATTTCCGACCTCGACGAGCGTCTGTGGTAGAAAACCACCACTTTGGTAGGGGAAACTACTGCTGTCTGCTACAATTTGCACTGCATGTCAAGCTATTGTAGCGACATCTATGCATATACATTTCCGACCTCGACGAAAATCTCGCGGCGCTTCGCGCCGACCCGCACCGCCCATTCATACTGGAGACCAAATTAGATTATGAGTTCAGAGTTGTGACAAATACCTAAAGCAACCACCACGTATGATATACATTAACAGTTAACTATCAGATTGACGGCATGTGTCAACAATTATACCCTGATAGAAGACCGGAGGCTCTGGTTAACCGTGTAAAAATGAATACTTCAGACGCGTACCGCGTAGGAATTCAGCCCAGTATCGTTGAACAGATAATGCATCGGCCTGAAAAAGTACGGTAACGATAACTAATTTTGGGTTTTTAGTCGGCCGATCCGTCCCCCCTGTCGAAAATCTGTGGCGACGCCCCTGGCACGTAGGACAAAAGTACGTATCGCAAATGTTCGTACAGTATGTACGCATGGACAAAGCTACGTCAAGGACAAAAGTACGCATGGCAAAAGTACGTACAGTATAAAGCACGAATGGATAAAAGTACGTCAAGGACAAAAGTACGCATCGAAGAAGTACGTATAAGTGCATTATTAAGTACCTACGCATGGACAAAAGTACGTCAAGGACAAAAGCACACATCGTAAAAGTGCGTACAGCATAAAGTACGTATGGACAAGAGGTTACCATATGGCTGCCATATGGCTCGTTTGTGATTGTCAGAGCTCCGTGTTTATGGGCTAGGTTTGCTAGAAGTCGGGACGATCTGTGACTGAGGATTGCGCGTAAGTGTTGAGAGAGTCGCGCATTTATCGGCTGATACCGCTTTTTGTACGCTCAAAGACTTACTGATAGTTTTCCGAGTGCAATTGCTGACCGTCGAGGTGCGCCAGTTTCGTCGCGTGATCTGTTGATCAGCTGACGAGACGGAGGGGTCACGTCAGACTGTGGCGACGGTGGAGCCATCTCTGTTGGAGTGCTGGCACTTCAAGTATCTACTGGAGACGAGCAGGAGCGGATATAGGTGAAATGGGCCGAAACAAGCGGAAAAATAACAGCCCTCTGCAGAGGGATGAGAGCAAAAGCCGACGAACAGCCGATGAGAATGTCGATGACGTGGATGCTGATGGCTGCAGCCAAGGTGGCCAAGAGGATCAAATAGCCGAACTGAAGGAGTTCATTCGGAACGAAAACGCCCGCAGCAACAAAAGCCTGGCGCAGGAAATTCGGCGGTGCAATGAGGAGAGGTTGACGGCAATAGAAACCTCGCTGAGCTTTGCAATGGCCGCAAATGAAACCATGGCAAAGCGCCTGGTGGAAGTGGAGCAGAGAGCGCAGCGAGCTGAAGAGAACCTGGCTCACTGTGCACGGCGACTGTGTCTGGTCGAGGAGCAGCTCGATGATGTGCAACAAAGAGAGCTGCAGGACTGGCTCATTTTTAGCGGCCCAGCAATTCCACGCCGGTCGCAATCCGGCAGAAATGAGGACTCATCGCTCCTGTACGCTATCATCCATCAGCACATGGGCTACGAAATGGACGTGGCACAGCTGAGGGAGGTGTATCGTGACGAGAGACAGATTCGTGTGCGCTTCTCAGCCGTGGGTGCCGGTTCCGACCGTTATCACATGGTCAGAAACAAAACGAAGCTGAGAGGAACCGGACTCTATATACGAGAGAGACTGACACCGTTCCGGCAGAAACTCTTCAATGAGCTGATGCGGTTTAAGATGGCTCGGCAAATCAGCACCGTCTTCACACGAGACGGCACCGTCTTTGCAGTTGTCGGACGGCGAGACCAGCCTCGCCCGGTGCGCACCGAAGCTGCTATGGAGCGGCTGATCCGGCAGCTGATGGACATCGAGTTGGACGATCGCCAGCAGATGGCAGACCAGGACAGCCGGCGGGCTCGAGCCATCGAGCCTGAGGAGGCGTCCCGGAGCGGGACGACACCTGCGCGACAGGAGGGGCCGGCGCTGGCCACCGGAGGAGACACCGAGAGGTCAGCGGAGCGGCACACGGAGCAGCACCGTCCCGTTCCGGCCGGCGACCGAGTGGGTGCCGAGAGCGAGGAGCCTCGTCAGTCGGTGGGGGACGGTGTGATGGCGGTCGAGGAGGCTGCTGCTGAGCTGCCGCCGGCGGACTCGCCGCCGCCTGCCGGCTCCGGCTCCGGCTCCGGGGGAGCCTGGACGGGTCGGCGGCGGGCGCCGTCTGTCGGTGAACCGCAGCGGGCGCCGTCAAATGGTGAGCCACGACGGGCGCCGCCTGGCGGTGAGCTGCGGGCGCCGCCTGGCGGCCGGAGCGGAGGCTGTGATGGCTGTCCGTCAGCCGCGGCAGAGCGAGCGCCTGTGGTAGGAGAGGATGGTCGACTGCAGGCGTTGGCACCCTCCAAGGTACGTCAGCGCTTTCGAGGTGACTTGCGCCAGTTCGTGACAGTCCACAGTAAGTCTGATTAGATGCTGTCTATGGGTACCGCTACTGTAAAAGTGTCAGTTCGGCGGTACGTTGATTGGGTAATGCTTGCAAGTTTTGAGTTCATTTGGCCAATATTTCTGTCTTGGCTTGCAAGTTGTGCGCAAGTTGTATGGCACATAGGTATGCGTAGCAGGCGTACAGTGTATTTTGTAGTATACCTCGGATATTTTCTTCACTCAGTAGCTAGTCTTTTTACCTACCTTCTGCTCGATTTCAGTTTTTTGCTAGTCAAATGTGAGCGAGATGATACGTGGGCTGAGCGGAGAGTGTTTTGTCAACAATTTGTCGGGTCTGGTCTATACCGAAATCGAGCTAATGCATTGACATGGCACTCGATTCGAAAGTGCTTAAGTACGACGCATGCTACCATGCATGTCGTGGGTATACGCTGTGTTGCAGAAACGGGCGCTTCGTGCATTCCTGCATTGGTAGCTTGTGTTGTCCGATAAAAAACAATGACTAAAGTAAGAATATGTTCGATGAACGTGCGTGGCCTTGGTAGCTGGAAAAAACGTAAAGATGTGTTTGAAAAGCTGAGAAGTAGCGATGCACATATTTTTCTGCTACAGGACATCCACTGTCCCGAGGGGAGGGAAATGATTTTTCGGAATAGCTGGGGGACTGATGTTCTCCTCGCACCTTTCACTGCAAATGCTAGGGGTGTGGCAATTTTGACAAACAGGATAGATATAAAGTTTAGCGACACATTGATAGACAAGGAAGGAAACTTCATAATAACGCATGCAAAAATTGAACAATCTTTTAGTCTTGTGATTGCCAGCATTTATGCGCCGAATCGTGATTCGCCTGAGTTTTTCCGACCAATTGAAGAGTATTTGGACCAATTAGAATGCGATACTCCAATAGTGCTAGGTGGGGATTGGAATTTAGTTCTTGAATATGAGCTAGATTGTTATAATTATAGGAGACTTAATAACGTGAGAGCTCAGCGTAGAGTAATAGATATGGTAAAAAAATATGGCCTTATTGATGTATTTCGAGAGAGATGGCCAGTATTGAAGAGGTATACATGGCGGGTAAAAAATCCGTCCTTGAAACAAGCCAGACTGGACTTCTTTCTGGTTTCTCCTTCAATAAATGAAAGAATTGTCGGTTGTGATGTAAAACCAGGATATAGGACCGATCACTCGATGATAGAACTAGAGATGGT